TAGAATCAAGATTTAAACTAGTTTGGGGTCGAAAATGAATTTCTCAAAAAGACTTTTAGATAAACACTTGTTTTAGGCTTCTCAGATTTCTCCCGGTTTCACTCAGAAGGGTTTTTCAGTTCAAAACTTGGTACCGCAATGTAACCGAAAATCTAGGATTTTAGATTTAAACCATGTCTTGGTGTTGAATTTATTTAAAAGTGGCCCAAAATAATTTATTCAAACACTGATTTCATCGCAAAAATTTTTATAGAGTGAAAAATGGCTATTTTGGAATTTCTTAAAACCGAATTTATAAAAATTAAATTTTGAGTTGTCACATAGTGAGTTGTTCGAAGAAAGCAGAGGAGGAAGAAAGGGTTTCTGCAATCTTAATTTGGGGAAAAACTGAGAAAAGACAAAAATGGCCTTGGTGGGGCTTGGTCACGGTGCTTCACACGCTCCGCCACCATGGTCCGCTGCATGGCCCTGGTTACGGCCTAGATCATGGACCACAACGGGGTCCGTTGTCACGTTCCGTTCCAGTAACGGTCCCTGCCGTGTTCCGCGTCCACGCTCCGCCTCAGGTCTTCAGTTCGAACTCTCCAAGCAACACAATCACACTTGTCCCCAACTTTGTCTTTCCTTAATGAAGTCAAAATCGCAAGTGGTCCCCGACTTTGGAAATCTCAAATCCTAAGTCAAAATTTGACTTTTCCAAATTCTTTTCGTGTTCTTTCGGTCCAACTTAACTTAAATTAAATCCTTGTCCAATTCATCCCCGACACTTATCAATCTTTCTCGTTTCCATTTTAACCTCGAGGATTTAGTCACTACTTTTCGTAAGCTAACTTCTCGATTTAAATTCTAATTGTTTCTCAATAATTTCAATCACACTAGTATCTATCTTGTTCTTATTAGGATTTCACTTACCTATTCTTGGTACCATTTACCGAGAATTCCAAAATTATTTCTAACAAAGTCTTAAGTCTCAAAATCCTAAGCAAGTCAAGATTGCACCAAATTTTCCAATCACATAACAAACAAGAAGCTAAGTATAAACATTAACACTTAATCCAATTTTGAATGTTACCTTGTTCGAGATTGCGCCCCCCAGCTTGTGATTTTCCCATCACCATGATTCTTCCCGAACCAGCTCCGCTCGGACATCCTTGATTGGACCCTCCACGTCCTTGATTACCATTTCGGTGTGGACCACCTCCTGTAGGGTTCCCACGACCCATACCTCGATTCGGCGCTTGGTTAAACTTGCCTCTCGACGGCTGATTCTGTGTCATGTTAGTAGATCTCTCCATCTTCGGGTACCAACAAGTAGCAGTTCTTTGCCCCGGAATTTCGCAGTTGTAGCATATGATGGGTACGCCTTCAAACGTAGTCCGAGGGTGATCCCTACCACACCTCACACAAGCAATGCTCCTGACATTATATAGCCCTCCAGTTCCAAATCCCTGTCCCATACTCGGGTTCCTCCTCTCCACACTTCGATTGTCATTCCTTGGCACGGGATTGAATCGGTGTCCCTTTCTCGATTGTGAGTCATTCCCCTCACTCTACTTCTTTGGTCCATTCATAGCAGCTCGGTGCAATTGTTGAATCCTTGAGTGTCCGGCAGCTGCGTCATAGTCTTCATCCAGTGTGGAAAACTTCGTAGCAGTAAAGAGCTTCCGAGCATTATAATAGAGTCCACGGACGAACTTTCAGTCCTTACTGGCCTCGTCAGGTGCTAAGGTGGGAGCAAATCGTGACAATGCCACAAAGCGGGCATGATACTCTTGTTCAGTCAGGCTTCCTTTCTCCAGATGCAAGAATTCCTCGTACTTGGCGGCCTTGACATGCTCCGGGTAAAACCTCTCTCTCAAGGCAATCTTGAACATATCCCAATCGAAGTCCTCCTTCTCCATATGTGTCGGACCCTCCATCTCCCACCAGTGGTCAGCCTCATCTTGCAGGTAGTACACAGCGGTCTCCACACGTTGGTCTTGCGGACAGTTAACGACGTTAAACAACTTGTCAAACGTCCGGATTCAACCCTCTAGGATCTCAGGGTCCTCCTGGCCCAAATAACTCGGCGGATTGGCGCCCCATGATCTTCCTTGATACATCTCCCCCACCGCTGTTCCCATTCATTACAACGGTTCCAATAGTCTGGGTCAATTGTGTCAACTGACGGAGGCTCTCAGTCAGGTCTGTGCAAGACGAAGCTCCAGCTCCTTCAGAACGAGGAGTCTCTTCTCTAACTCTTATTCTCGGTGGCATTATGTGAGCCCTTTACACAGTCAGAACAGGTCAGCTCGGTTAGTACATCTAAGAACTAACTACTTCTAACTTCTATTTTATCAAGTAAGGCTCACAACAAGTAAAGCACAAAACAAGAAACAAGTATAAGCTCATATACTTTTCACATTAGAAACTTAGTCAAAACTTTCACAAAACTTCACTTTCAAACTTTAACTTTTAAAGAAAAGCAAACTATACTTTAAACACATTGAAAAAGCACATAAACAAATAAGCAAGCGTAAGAAACTCACAATCTCACCGCGTTCCTAACTGGAATACTTAAAGAAACTTCCTATCCTTGGAATTCTTACACTTAACTGCTTAACTTAAAGTCTTTCTCACCTTAAATCTTACAACTTAGAGTTCACTTCCTTAAATTGTCCATCCTAGTACTTCCACTTAGGTCTCCTATACTCAATCTTAAGGTTCAGTCTTCCTAAACTCCGCGGTTCGTACTGCTCTGGGTAACACCCCACTTTTCTTAATCTAAATCTCAATTACTTAACTTAACAAGGTAAGTTGAACAAGAATTAAAAGAAAGATATAAAACTTAAATCAACCAAAACCAACCAACGGGTGTTACCGCCGCAGTCACCACCCAAGGTGACTGCACAGGCTACTAATGGAATAAACTAAGACAAATCAAACTTCATTAAAAACATCCTTAAAACATGGGGGAACAGACCCCGGTGTCCAGCACCAACAAAACGATAAGTCTAAGTCACTAATCATCAAACATCAAAAGTCAACAATAGTATCTAGCATCACAAGTTCAACAGTAGAATCTAACTAGAAACTACTAACTCATAATCACGCACTACAACTAAACTCGTGCGCTCTCAGTTACTGGGCCCACCTGGAAGGGGTTATAAAAACAAGTAGAAAATAAACCCGTTAGCAAATTAATGCTAAGTATAAAACCACTCAACCCTCTAAAATACAATAGATATAGATTTTGAAAATCATTTGGCAAGTTCACATAATCTCAAACGCTTTCAACACTTAAACAACAATCTCAACATACTCATAATCAATTCTAAATGCTTGCAACCTATACAACAATTAATCAACACATAATCATGCTTTCTCAAGTACTCAACTTAACACAACTCTCATGCTTCAACAAATACAACTAAACATAGCTCAATATACAACCTCATGCTATCATGCTAGACAGTAAGCAATCTCAAAGCTAACATGCCAACTCAACAATCAATAACAAGTTGCACATCTCAACATACTATAAATGCAACACATGCAAGTCAAGTGAAAGGAAAAGCCATGATGCTGTAAGTATAAATATATACTCTCACTCTAAAAAGTGTATACTTTTCTTTGGAGGTTTCGGTTGAGTCACAATGACCCGCTTTTCTCTTCTTTCTCTTTGAGTCTCTTGAATCACTTTCTCTTCTTTAATCGCGAGCGAGGTAGGAACTTCACCATGTCTGAATGGACCCGTCGGGGCTCGGCATCTAGCCGGTCTAACCTCAATCTCGCCCACGGAACCACTCTCTGGGTTCTATACTCAATCTCTGTGGAATCAGGTACCGTACTTGTCAATGTGCCCTAACCAGGATTCCAAGCCCGTCGGGTAGTATCCAACCTAGTAACTAGGGAATATCAACCAAGTTACTTCATAAAATCTTTCGGTTCGCAATGTCCAATTTTTTCTCAAACATTCTTTCTTTCTCTTTTCTTCCGAAAGGACATAGTCCTAACGGGCCTCCGAAAATACTATTTGCCTCACAATAGATAGTATATAGATATCTCATGCCACAAACTCTATTTATGCAAGCTCAAGCACAAATATTCTCAACCAACTTCTCTTTCTCACAACTTTGGAAATCGAATATCATGCAACTTCTCAATGCAAATAGATAAATGATTTTCCAAAATAGATATAGGTTTTTGAAATAGAACTTAGGCTTACTTAGACCCAATAATGCACTTTACTCAAATGAAATGCAAAACAAGCCCTTTACTGTAAAACATACTCACATTCATATTCACTGTAAATCAAGGATTCATGCATTATACTGCTCATGCTTATTTCTCAAGACTTAGCAAAACTTCTCAAATAATACTAACAAGTATTTAGGCATGCTTCTCAATCAAATATAATAATCAGTAGCTATAATCTCATTCACTGCATTTATCTTCACATGCAACAACAACAATAGAGAATTCAATCTTCACAAATTCAAATATAAATCATGCTTTATAACTCCAAATTCAACGAAGCTAACTTCTACTAGTGTGTTGTAACGAGCCCGAGTGTCCGAGCCTCAAGAACCCATGAGTCCCGGTCCGAACAATGCGTAGCTGAGCCACAAAGGTCCTGGCCAGAAAGGTCTTTTCGCCTAGCGGAGCTTGGTGACGGGGCTTGAGAAGCCCAATGACTAGGCTCCGCCAAACCACGGATCATGGAAACGGTTCTTGCCTAAAACCGTGGCCATGGTTTGCCCCACAATGGAGCTTGCCAACGGACCATGCCAAGGTCCGTTGGGTGATCTGGTGCACCATCTGTGTGCACCAAACACCTCCTTCTTCACCTGTAACACAAAACCAGTGTAGTCCAACACTTCTAAACCACAACAAATCAATCATAGATCATTAACAACACACAAATAGCTCAACCACAACATTTATCTAGCATTTCTACACATCTAAACACATTTCCAATAGTTAACGGAGATCAAAATGTAGTTTGGGAGTCTGATAAGCTTTGAATTAGTCCATAATTGTGCTTCGTTTGTACTAATTTCTAAGCGAATGCTAGGTGATTGTGCAAGAACGAAGCGTATTTTAGGTGTTTATGGCTTGAGGAAAGGAAATGTAGATTGGGTCATACATGAACTTAAAATGAGGACAAATCAAGATGATATTAAGGCTAAGTGGTTCGAAGATGGAAGGGCAAAATCATAGCAAGGATCAACGGAGCGTCGGTACGAAGGAGAAGCAAAACGTGACACCGATGTTCTACACTTCTGTTCTGCCCGTCACGATGAGATTCACGGCGTGACCCCAATTGTGATGAGCAGATATCATTTCTGAAGTTGGGGTGTCACGCTGTGACAGCCAGCGTGACCCCCAACCTTCCGCAGGTATTACTGTTGGTCACGGTTAAGGTCACACCGTGACCCTGACCGTAACCAGCAGAGACCTGCGAGGCTTAGGCTTGGTCACGATGAAGGTCACGCCGTGACCTCCATCATGACCAGGCATTCTGGAAGCGGTTTATTTGGCTCGATTGCAATAGTATTAATAGGAATATGCGTTATTTTTAAGTTATCTGGTAGTTTTCTAAGTCTTCTTTCTAAGTTTTCTCTCCACAAAACCATTCTAGAACATCTATCCATTGTAAATCATCAATTCTTGGAAGATTTAGGGAAGAATTATCACTTGTAACTACAATTTCTACTTCAATTTCAGATTTACCGTTTATAAATTCAATCAAGTAAGAGTTTAGTTCTTATTCTCCTATTTTGCAAACTAATTTTGTATTTGAATTCATTGCATATTATTTCAATTGCTTTCAGTTTATCAATTCCATTATTAGTAGTTAAACAAATTAGGGATTTAGATTGAATTGTTTTGTATGAATGCCAACATAAATTGAATTGCCAAATCTAGGTTTTGCAATGCCTCTAGAATGAATGTGATTGTGAAATTGGAGAATTGTTTGACTCTTGTTTGGTTATTAGGGCCCTACTATCCAAGAGGTCATTGGATTTGGTGCTTCACCTATGAGAATAGGGATTCACCATAGCCAAACCTATTACATTTCTAACTTACTCTTGAGAAAGGGGAGTTGGAAGGAAATGAGCACACAATATGTTTGATTAATTGTCTCACCTAGTCTAATTGCTATGAAAATGAGATTAGAACCTTGGTGAGAGTCCAATGTCCACGAGAGTGGCATTGGCATTGACTTAACTTCCTTAGGTTCGTTGTTGAACATTGTTTAGCCTAGAATCTTAGAACACTAAGAAGTATTTGTATATTGCCATTTGATCTAAGTCCTCTCTTTTATCATTGTCCATTACTTAATCATTTAGTTGTTTTAAAATTATCTCTATGCAAACAAATATTCCATTTTTGGTTAGCTTTCAAACACTTAATGATCCTGTGTTTAATCCCTCTCTACTCAATTCCCTTATAGCCATTCCTAGAGGACGACACTCACTAAACTTCACCACTAAAACCAACTTTCAGAGTCCATGGTTTATACCTTAGCTTGCTCTTCTTCTAGTGTGGATCTCTTCCTCCTCTCTACTCAAACACTACCTCCTTCACCACCTAAACACCCCAAACAAACAATACAACAAAGCTTAATGGTGATTCTTAGAGATTTGTAAGCAAAGATGAAAACATGAGGAAAAATATGGAATGAATGGATGAGATGAAGCTTAGAAAACCTTATTGCAAATGCTTCTTCTTCTAGCAGAGAACTCAAAGGTGGAGAGGCAAGGAAAGAGATCAGGGAAAACAAATGAATAGTGAGGATTATAAAGGGTGCAAAACCCTAGGATGATTTTCAATGATTGGTGAAGGTTAAAATGATAAATTGGCTTGATTTCTAAAAATATCAGACAAGGCAAAGGTGTAGAATGCTCATGGTCCACCTTGCATCAAGGACCATAGTCTAAAAAGATGATTTTGAATAACTTGGGGTCAAAATAGATTTTCTAAAAATAGTTTCAAGTTAAAATGCTTGGTTCAAGTTTCACAGGTTCCTTTCCGGTTTCACTCAGATTGACTTTTTGGGTCAAAACTTGGTACATAAATGTACCTGAAATTTAGGATTTTCGAAATAGAATAAATCTCGGTATTGAATTTATTTAAAAACTTGGTTTAAAATATTTATTTCAAACACCATTTTCGAAATAAAATTTTGGAAGAATGAAAATTGTTATTTTGGAATTTTATAAAATAGAATTTAGAAAAATTATTTTTGGGTTGTCACAGTGAGGTTGGCGTAAATGGGACATAATTCCCCTCCGTCCTCCTTACGTGTGTGGCTGTGGCGTGATTGATGTCTTGGATGTGCATTTTCCTTAGCTTTGACATTTTTGTCCTCTTTTGCCACTTTTCTTGTCCAAAAACACCTAAAAACATATAAAGTACATTTGGAAAGGTGTCCCTGTGCTAAACCGCGTTTTTAAGATAAATTACTATAAAACACATGACTTTAAGGCTAAAACATGCGAAAAATACCCTCAAAGTGCTCTTAGAAACTAGCATCTTTTGACGCTTATCACAAGTTTCCACACTTTAGTTTGCTTGTCCTCAAGCAATTTTACACTTAAAACCTGATAAGCTCAAAAGATGCTCTAAACAGATTTTTGCCAATCACATGATGTTTTCAAGAAAGTTGTGCGAGAAAAGAGTAAGAGTGAAATCCCTTATCTTATTAAGCAAATTTGAAAATCACGCAACAGTTAGCAACTTGTGGAATATGTGAGAAATTTGGTCTCCTAATAAAGATAGAACAATTAAGCAAGAAGGGTGACACACTCTATACACCAAGTTCCAAGCATGCAATCCAAAATGGGAATTCACCTCTCATTTTGCAGGGGCCTTGAGCCGAGCCACACTAGTGGGAACGATGTACACTAGCCAACCTCTTTCCAACCTTATGCGCCAAGACCTAAAATAAAGTGAAACTATGGCATGGACCGCTTTTCCCCAATTGGCTTAGACGAACACTCTTTTTTCTCATCCCCCTAGAATCGTTACTAGGCGACTTGACTTCACATAGAGCTCCATTCTTTTTTCAAAGGTCAGTGCAATGGGTGCCCAGTTTCCAGCAGGTTGGCTTCCCTCCTCTATCTCTTCACATCTCCTAGGACCCCGCCATTTCGGCAATCGACTTCACGTAGAGTTCTACGCTTTTTCGAAGACAGTGCAATGGAATTAACCCAGGCCCTAGCGAGATGGTTCACCTCGTTTCTTATTCTCAAGGAGTGTCCATTGTTTTTGGTCTTTTGCCTTTTTTACTTTTTTCAGTTTCCTACTTCAATCACTCATGCCTTTTTTTCTTGGGGCGGGGGGGGGGGGGTAGGGAAATTTTTCTCTCAATACTCACCAAAAAGGCCCACCTTTTGCCCCATGCCATACGGGTATTTTTTCAATTTCCAGGTCTTGCTAATTTATATTTCTAGGTTGGTAAGTGCACACTCCCACTTCGAGAGATCGTTTACTAAGGTCCAAGTAAAATAGGAGGTGAACTATCAAACAAGCATGGAACAAAAGTAACCCTACTTGGGTTCTATACAATGCCCTATGGTGTAAAAGAGGCAATTTCTCGAATATTCCGCAAATTAAGCTTACTAAAGCATCATTAAACACATTTTCAAAATAATGCAAACCATTTCATCCCTTTCTAATCACATGCAAACTTCTATCATGCATCACAATATAGTAAAAAAATTTCAAATTTGAAGAACAAAATGTGATGAGTGCCTAGCGATTTTTCAACCATGGTTAAAACATTACATTTGACAATAGAAATACTCATATGTTATCCTTTGCATAATATTGCGTTAGTTTCGGTGTAGTGTTGGTCTGACGACTGGTGGTCATACAACCAACAAATGTAATCATTCAAATTAATTAAAGGAATTGAATCGTGTTGTTGACACTGAAATTTTGATAAATATTGATTATTTTTTAATATTAGTATATCTGAATATATTTTGGATAATATTGATATTATCTAATTTGTTAAATTAGATAATATCATAAAAGTTTGAACTTATTAAAACTCTTCTATCCTACACCTCTCATTTCTATGTAAACATCCTAGGAAAAAATCATCCAAACATCCTAAACTTTGAAGCTTATTCAGGGATCACAATAAAATGATCCTGAAACTAAAAGTTCCTCCATGAAGATCATGCTGAATGTTGTTCCAAACCTCCATGGAAGATCAATCTATTTGAACTCGGAGGCCTTTCAACGAAGAACAAGCTATATATACAAGCACTTCTTTGAAGATCAAGCCACGTGAATCCTAGAGGCCCTTCAATGGAGTGTTCAAGGCATCCAATTGAAGAATCAGAGGACCATCCTGAGATCTTGTACCCACACCACATTGATACTCGATGTAACCAAAATTTTGAATTTAAATATACACTTATTCAATTTTTTGTGTTCACAAATTGGCACGTCTTGTCGGATAGGTCTGTCTCTCATCTCTTCATAGGCACATACCTTTCAACCGATATGGGGGCAAACCCTGTATGAAATTTGAAATGGAGGAAGCTAAACAATACTCCTTAGCCCGAGTTGAAACGGCCTCATATCTTTCAAGGCTCATTGGCACGAGTAGAAACAGCCTCATATCGCTTAAAGCTCCTTGGCACGAGTAAAAACGGCCTCATATCTTTCAAGGCTCCTTGGCATGAGTTGAAACGACCATATATATTTTATTCCAAGGAGCTTTAAGCGATATAAGACCGTTTCTACTTGTGCCCAGAAGCCTTGAAGGATTTCAACTCGTGCCAATGAGTATTGTTTAGCTTCATCCATTTCAAATTTCATGTAAGTGTATAAATGATACACGTAAAAAAACCCTTAATATAAATTGGCTAATTTAATTATTAAAGGGTTAGAATTATTTAATGTGAAATACTTTATGTTATACGCTTGGACCATCTCATATTTATGCTACTCCACAGGTTTGAAATATTGAGCTATTATTTAGCATGGAATTAATTATTATGGTCATGGTATATTTCAAGTGAGCAGTACCTGGAGCAAAATGCATGATTATATGGTTTATTATGGCAATCAATGGGTTTATAGAATCAAAGCTATAATTAATGAGTTTATTATTTTTGAGTGGCTTTGGTAATTCTCAAGTGAGTGGATGGCTACTTCAAATGAAATGTGTGTGGCTTTGGTTAGTTGGTGATTATGGGATTCTAATTATGTGGATCAAAGTGGGATTAATTTATTACTATAAAAGGAAGTCACCCCAATGAGGAAAGTTGCTGATTTTGAGAACTGCTATACTGAGTGAAATCTACACAAATGCTATTTAAATTAATCTGCTAAATTATATTATTATTTTGAAGGCTTTAATTCTAAGCTGCACAGTCTGTACCTGGTTCAGCTCAAGCTTCGCTTGAAAATTGTTATGGCATGCACAGTTCAGTCCTGAATAGGTGTTAGGAAGGGTTGTAGTGGTAAAGGCTGAGAGTCATTTGTACTTACCTCTTGTAATACTCCTTGGTGAACGTCTATAGTGGATTGGGCAGACGTGGGTTACCCCGCAGGCGTAGGAGAAGCGCTCTGAACTACGTAACAATTCTCTTGTGTTATTGTTTTATTTTATGCTTTCAATTTTCGTTATTTACATTTGATTAACAAATCTAATTAATGAACGCGATTGTTGCATAACCTAAAATCAAATAGAATTCAAAGGTTCATCTTGTATTCAAGATTCACGGTGCAATTTCAATTGGTATCAGAGCCTGTGTACTTAATTTATTAGTCTATCGATCTGGCTATTCCGTGCTTCTTGAACTCAAGCTTTCAGCGGCTTTTATTATTATTATTTGTTATACTATTTTGTTCAATCTCACTGTTTATTGAGTGTTTCAGAATGGACCGTGTGAAGGTTCTTCCCCTGTTGACAGGCGACAACTATGCCTATTGGAAAGCTCGCACACGTACACATCTTAAGGCTCAAGGAGACGCTGTTTGGCGGTCGTGGTGACGGGTTGGACTCATCCGACTAAAGCCAGTACCAGTGATGATGGAACGCGAGTAACTAAACCTGAAAGCGAATGGTCCCAAACTGAAATAAGTAATGCTGGAAACAATGATAAGACTTTAGATACTATTTACTCTCTTATCCATGAAAGTCAATTTTACTATAGTTGCAGGTTATGATTCAGCTAAAGGCGCGTGGGAAGCCCTTGAGTCAACCTACGAAGGCACAACGTCTATAAAACAATCGAAGCTGCAATTGGTACTGTCCGACTTTGAAGAACTCCGGATGAGTGAGGATGAAACCATCACAGATTTTCACACGCGCGTCCAAGAACTGGCAAATCGTGCGATGGTTCTCGGTGAAAATTTCCCCCAAGAAAAACTTGTTAAAAAAATTCTAAGATCGTTACCACCAAGGTTCAGAATGAAAGTCACGGCCATTCAAAAACATGACGGTTGGGAGAACAAAACGGTTACTCAGTTAATGGGAAATCTTCGAACCTACGAAATGAAAATTCTAACTGATCACACGAAAACAAAACAAAAAAAAAAAAACAAAAAAAATGTAGCTTTTGTCGCTGAAGAAAATAATGTTGTATCTGATTCAGATGAACCAGGTGATGATACAGTTGTTTTTTTGACTAAACAGTTCTCTAAAATTTTGAAACAGGTATCTAAAAATGTGACACCCTGTAAATCCAAATTCTATTTAAGGATTAATTAAGTAATTAATCCTAGCTTAATTGATAATTTAATTCCTAAAATCCTGAAAATTCAATAGTCGGGGACTAGTAATTGGCTTGTCAACCCAAGTCAATGAGTTATACTCTAAGCTTTGTGAATAGTTCCCTTGTACCCTTACACTTTTCCATCTTAGTAAGGGTAATGAAGACATTTCACCTCATGAATGTATCCCAAGCTAACCTAGAGTTATCTTTCATTCTTCCCCTAACACTCTCAAAACAACAGCTCCTCCTTCTCTCTAGAATTTAGCTAGCTTTTAGTTCAAGCCAAGTTTGGGCATTCCAAGATCTTCAAAGTTGGTCTCCAAGATTCCACCTTTCTTACTCCCAAGAAAAACCTGTTAAAAAAATTCTGAGATCGTTACCACCAATATTCAGAATGAAAGTCACGGCCATTCAGAAACATGACGGTTGGGAGAACAAAACGGTTACTCAGTTAATGGGAAATCTTCGAACCTACGAAATGAAAATTTTAATTGATCACACGAAAATAAAACAAAAAAAAAATGTAGCTTTTGTCGCTGAAGAAAATAATGTTGTATCTGATTCAGATGAACCAGGTGATGATACAGTTGTTTTTTTTACTAAACAGTTCTCTAAAATTTTGAAACAGGTATCTAAAAATGTGACACCCCGTAAATCCAAATTCTATTTAAGGATTAATTAAGTAATTAATCCTAGCTTAATTGATAATTTAATTCCTAAAATCCTGAAAATTCAATAGTCGGGGACTAGTAATTGACGAGTCAACCCAAGTCAATGAGTTGTACTCTAAGCTTTGTGAATAGTTCCCTTGTCCCCTTACACTTTTCCATCTTAGTAAGGGTAATGAAGACATTTCACCTCATGATTGTATCCCAAGCTAACCTAGAGTTATCTTTCATTCTTTCCCTAACACTATCAAAACAAAAGCTCCTCCTTCTCTCTAGAATTTAGCTAGCTTCTTCTTCAAGCCAAGTTTGGGCATTCCAAGATCTTCAAAGTTGGTCTCCAAGATTCCACCTTTCTTACTCTTAAGCATATAAGAGGGTAAGATCTTTGGTCCTTTAGTGTTTTTATTGTTTTCTAAGGTGTCTTTTTCTAAAGATGAAATATTTATGGTCTTTTGGTGTGTTCTTGAAGTTGGTGTTGAAGGAGAACATTGTTGGAAGCTTGTAAAGGTGTATTAAGTGAAGGTTTAGGCTACAAGAGGTAACCCATGCTTTACAAAATATATTTTACTTACCTATATGATGATTTCTTGACTTCTACTTGTGATTTTGCTATGAAATGTGAGATTTGATGCATTGTCTTGTGAGAATGCATATCTAGAGCTTGTTATTAGGGTTCTTGTATGCCATTGCTTGGCTATTCCTTTGATTCAAGTCATATTGTTGTATTTTGTGAGATTTTGGGTGTTTTGGACTTGAATTTGGACTTGGTGTTGAAAATCCCCGAAGCGATTATTTTGGTATAGGATATGTACCTACGGGCGGAACGGCGGGTAGGGGTCCACCCCCCGTCCCACCCGCGGGGTACGCGTGGTGAAGGGAGTGGTTCGCGCGGGCGGAACCACGGGTGGGAGTCCACCCGTGGCCCCACCCGTAGGTAGTGGTTGTTTGGGGATTTGTTCCCCGTGATTCTTTTGACTCGGTAATTGATGTTTTGACTTCCCGATGTGCTTTTGTTGGGCTATTTGAGTGTCTCCTTGATGTTTCGTATGTCTAGAACGATATGTTAGGAATCCATGTAAGATTGGTGTCTTGAATCGTGCTAAGTGTTCAACCTTGTGATTCGTTGAACCATGATGAGTCTTGTGTATTCTTCGGAACTATGTTTTGTTTACTCGTTTGATAAGCATGCTAGTTCGGTTTTGAAATGCTAGCATGTGTGGTTTGTTCCTTCCTATTGTGGATGATAACTTGTGTTGATCATCGTTGTTGTCGGATTGTGATCCTTTCCTTGTTGAGTATGGTTTCATATCTTTGTTGTGATCCGTTGATTGATTCCTATGAGGATGTGTGTGTTGGCTGTACCTGGATTGCATGATTAATGGTATGGGACATTAGTCACCAAGGTACGGCAGTGGTCCTCGTGGTGGCCATTACGTGATTATGGAGTTGTGACCTGTATGTAAGGTTCACGTGTTTTGGGTGGCTTCGGTCGTGTATTGAACGGTACCCTCATGTACTATGAATCCGTGGATATGTTGGAGATTGTCGGAGTGGGGACGACGGTCCTCAGAGGCATAAGGTTAGACATGGATGTACAGGGGTCCTGGAGGTAATGGTTGGAACTAGTTATAAGGTTGGGGGTAGCCATAACGTTAGAACCGGGCATAAGGATGGAATATTGAATTCGTGATGGGTGATTTCACGAGGGCATGTGTTGCCGATGTGTGTTTCTCTATTCTTACTTGTTGAGCATGTCGGGTGGTATTCTACTGGGTGATGGTAGAATTCACCTTGAGTTGGACTTGTGTTGTCGTTGTCATGTCTTGATGTGTTTTGGGATGTGTTTCCCCTTGTCCTTATTGTGAGTGATGTAGAGTCTTTGCAGTTGACGTCTATCTTTGGCTTTGAACTGATATATACAGTATTCTGTTTCGAAAATGATTTTGTATTAAACTATCTATCTATATATGCTATTGACGCGTATTGATGGGTTACAAGCATTATTTGCTGACCAGGTGTCGTCCCATTTCTTTATGTGCTTTACAGGTCCCGAGTAGACGATGAGCGCGTTAGACATAGATAGATTAGTTTCCCTAGACAGTTTAGACTGTGTTTTGGGCCTGTGTGCCTCTTTTGTTGAATATCTTAGATTGTTGTTGTCGATTTTTGCCTGTGCGTTAACATTGATGCGAACGTGGCATAACACTCCCTGTTTTCCGGCTTTATATATCAGACTTTCCGCTGTGCTATGCTTTATGTTTTTGTGGTTAGTTATCTTGCATAATTAAGTTTAAATTGGCATGAAAATCGGGGGTGTCACAAAAATTCGCGCAACAGAAATCCTCAAAGATGAGCAACATCGTCCAAAACTGGCCCTAGGACAAGCTCGTCAAACTTCAAGCAGTCTATCTCACGTCCAGGGCAGTCCAAAGAAAAATCTAACAATAAAGGAATCAAGTGCTATGAGTGTGAAGGCTTTGGACATGTACAAGCAGAGTGTCCCACCTATCTCAGACGAAAAAATTCTATGTCAGCCATCACCTGGAGTGACGACGAACTTGACGCTGAAACAACTGGATCTGATGTAGAAGAAATCTCCCGTAATTTTGTTGCATTTACTGCACGTTTTGCTGGATGTTCAGAACTTGAAGAAGGAGCTGACTTAGAGGGATGTGAATATGTCTCAGCGGAAGATTTAGAGTTAAATGCTTTATCTTTTAAAGTTGAGTTCAATATGTTGTAACCCAAATGGGAAGCCCTAAGAAAAGAAAATCGCAAATTGACTAATGAAATAGGAATTGTAGTGAATGCTAGTAAAGTATACCAAAATCAAGTAGCCGATAGGGATGTACTTCTTAAAGAGGCATCTGACCGTGAAGAGAGACTGAAACAGGAGGTACAGACCCTGAAGTAGGAGCTAAGCACCTATATAAGGCAAAAATCCAAATGATGGACACAACTTCAACACTTGACCAAATACTTGATTCAGGAAGAAAATCCTCTACAAAATTTGGTGTGGGTTTCACCGGGGGTACATCAAAGGACAAAACGGTGTTTGTCAAAGCGTCAGGACCTGATCTAGTGGATGCTTCAAAAGATAAAACAGTTTTCGTCAAAGCATCAAGACCCGATCCAGTTGACGTCCCTGAATCCAGCTCAGCGAGACAAAACAATGGTATAGTGCGATCAAACAAGCAATTTTATGAACTCTATAACTCTGTGTGCCATTATTGCAGGTTGCACGGTCATACCAGGCCCGAGTGCTACTACTTCTACAAGGATCAAAGAATTGAAAAGTTCAGGCACAAAAACATCCGATCATTTACGAAACAGATTTGGGTTAAAAAAACTGACTACATTTATTTTGTCTCTTTTCACACTAAAAGTGCAGGAAGAGAAGAGAAGTGGTATTTTGACAGTGGGTGTTCCCGTCACATGACAGGAAATGCCAAATTTCTAAGTAACGTAAGTACAAGAAAAGGTGAAGTTACCTTTGGTGACGGTATTAAAGGCCAAGTCACGGGCATAGGCACTCTAAATGTGACTGGTCTACCCAAGTTAGAAAAAGTACTGCTTGTAAATGGTCTTCGTGCAAATCTCATAAGTATAAGCCAACTCTGCGACCAAAATTGGAACGTGTCCTTCACAAAAAATACATGCAGTGTCCTGGACAACGCAAATCAATGCGTTATGGAAGGTAAGAGGTCAACTGACAATTGCTACACTCTGACCAATAAGGTTTTTTTCTGCAGGTCTAGTATTGAAGAAGCTGAGTTAGGGCATCAAAAACTGGGACGTCTAAGCTATAGCTCATGCAATTTCTAAGGCATCTCAAAATGAAAATTGGCAAATTTGCAATTGAGGGTTGCAATTAAGAATTACAGGTTACCTAAATTTTTCTAGACAGTTTAATCTTTAGGAATTAAAATCTTCTCTCCATTCAAAAGTTTCCTTATCCTTCTAAAATTCTTGTACCCATATTTTTACAAACTTCCATCTATTTAACAATCCCTTCTTTATTTAATTAAAAAAAAAAAAAAAAAAAAAAGGGGGGGAGAGTTATTGAGAAAAAAAAAAATTCCCGAAAATCCTTCACCGCCCAACCGCATCTGCCTGTTGTCCCTGCCGGAGGAAATTATAGTTGCCGCCATCATTGCCCAACCGCACTGCTGCCAACCATGAGATCACAAATGTGCAAAACTACTTTGCTGCTTCTGTCTCGGCCACAGTAGATCACCCATCTTCAAAATTAATTTTGCCATCATCGTTGGTGATAAAGTTTACAGGTTCATTACTCTCTAATTCCTTTTGTTAATTCCTTGAATGTTTTTAGGGTGTATTTGTCTAATGTGTCTTGTGAAATACCTGCAAATATTCTTATGACTAAAACTGAGTTTTTATGTGTTCTTTTACCTAATTTGGTGCCCTCTACTTCAATATCCTTGCATTCATCAAATCTTGACAATTCTTCATCTCTGCCAGTGTAATATTCTGCATCTGTGATAGGATCTGTTTTTTCATCAGGGAAATTATCTTTTGAATTAATGGTTCTGTTGCTACATGCTCTCACATTGCATATATGTTTTTTTTTAGTGTGTCTATGATTGATTTTCCCTCTATTTTATTTTTTTTAATTTTCTTGTAATTAGCCCTTTTCGTTGTCCACTACTCTATGTGTTTACTAAACTGCAGATTGATTCTTTGCGTTTTGTTCTTGACTGTTTTCTATGTGTTTACTAAATGTTCTACTTGCGTTGTTTTGAGTGCTTTTGAACTGATAAACCTATTTTTGCTTAGGTTATTTTATTGGTGTTTCTTGTGTTGAATCTTTGAATTCTCTATGGTTACTTGAATGAAAATTTGATGCAATTTGTTTAATATTTGTATTCTCCTGTGTTACTATGTGAATGTGTTTCTGTTGGTCCGGTCATGACCGTATCTGTGTTTGCTTGTGTACTTATTATGCTAACTGTTATGAATTCTTGTCTGAAGTTGATTTATATGAATCTGTGCTTGACTTTTCGTTATATGATTCTGTGCGTAAATGTGTTTTATCTGAATGTGCTTACTACTTGGGTATGCTCTGTTTGCGTTATCTGCTCCAACTTGATATTCGTGTCTATAGGTGCTTATTTGTTATTTAATTGTTATCTAGTTCTGCGTTTCTTGTTTCTAATTTTAATTTCCTTGCAGGTTCAATCCAATAGGGCACTCCGTCAGACTCAATCTACGAATATAGATGTTCACCTTTATCAATTCATTGGCAAAAAAGGGGGAGTATATACAAAGGGGGAGTATGGATTAAGGGGGAGTTTTGGTAAAACTGTTGGAATTGGAGTCGCACTGATTGGTAGCAGTTGGCTGATGGTTGGATGGTGGTTATTTTTGGCTTCAAATTATTATTGGATTCATTATTTATATTATTGGGATTCTTATCTATATCTTATTACTCACACCAGTTCAGCGGATTATCTATGCATTATTAATATTTGAGTATGATACATCTTGGGATACAGTTGTCTGTTGGGATTATTATCAGTGGATGAAGCTACAGTCCATATGACATGGTAATTTCTCAAAATAATTCTAACTCATAGGTTTACATGTCATGCAAGTATACTAAGGGCCACCTATTAATAAAACTGTTTGAAAGTGAATTTATTTTGGCCCTAAGTATACATGCATTAACTTTTGCCAATTAAATTACCAAAGGGAGAGATTGTAAGTGTATAAATGATACACGTAAAAAAAAAGAACCCTTAATATAAATTGGCTAATTTAATTATTAAAGGGTTAGAATTATTTAATGTGAAATACTTTATGTTATACGCTTGGACCATCTCATATTTATGCTGCTCCACAGGTTTGAAATATTGAGCTATTATTTAGCATGGAATTAATTATTATGGTCATGGTATATTTCAAGTGAGCAGCGCCGGGAGAAAAATGCATTATTATATGGTTTATTATGGCAGTCAATGGGTTTATGGAATCAAAGCTATAATTAAGGAATTTATTATTTTTGAGTGGCTTTGGTATTTCTCAAGTGAGTGGAGGGCTACTTCAAATCAAATGTGTGTGGCTTTGGTTAGTTGGTGATTATGGGATGCTAATTATGTGGATCAAAGTGGGATTAATTTATTACTATAAAAGGAAGCCGCCCCTATGAGGAAAGTTGTTAATTTTGAGAACTGCTATACTGAGTGAAATCTACACAAATGCTATTTAAATTAATCTGCTAAATTATATTATTATTTTGAAGGCTTTAATTTTGAGTTGCACAGTCTGTACCTGGATCAGCTGAAGCTTCGCTTGAAGATTGTTATGGCATGCACAGTTCAGTCCTGAATAGGTGTTAGGAAGGGTTGTAGTGGTAAAGGTTGAGAGTCATTTGTACTTACCTCTTGTAATACTCCTTGGTGAGCATCTATAGTGGATTGGGCAGACGTGGGTTACCCCGCAGACGTAGGAGAAGCGCTCCGAACCACGTAACAGTTCTCTTGTGTTATTATTTTATTTTATGCTTCCAATTTTCGTTATTTACATTTGATTAACAAATCTAATTAATGAACGCGATTGTTGCATAACCTAAAATCAAGTAAAATTCTAAGGTTCATCTTGTATTCAAGATCCACGGTGCAATTTCATTTCACAGAGGGTTTTCTCCTATATTGGTTGAAAGGTATGTGCCTATGAAGAGATGAGATGCAGAGCTCTCCCACCAGGCGTGCCAATTTGTGAACAAAGAAAATCGAATTTTATATATATATATATATATATATATATATATAGAATCCGGATCAGGTGAGGACCTAATCTTAGGTGAGGACGTGAGGACTAATCTTGTGCGTTTGTTTTTTTATTTGGATGACCCAGATTTGAGTTCTTAAGATGACATGGATTGATCTTTTTTGTTAAAGTGGGGTAGTAGTGTCTTTTTCTATTTTTTTTAAAGTGTGAACGCATGTGTAATCCTTGGCCAAATTGGTTTCCTATTTTCTTGGATCATCACCGTTGCAATTTGGAGCCGCGATTTCTTCATCATTGATTGAGTGTTCGCCCATGCAAACTAATCAGTATTTATTATTTTTTTTTTTTGCTCATTCTTTTGAGTATAATATTGTCTATATTTGGATTGTCGTGTATATGTATAAATGCTTGGGTAGTACGATTGTGTATTCGTGTGTGTTGATTGTGCAACCTAGTATTGTAAGTTGTGCACTATAGGCTAGAGAGTTGTGCATTATAGCACATAGTTCAGTGCACCGTAAGACATTGAGATGTCCACTGCATGATTTTTTGGCGGGGTTTGAATGCACAACAATAAAGTTATCGATGCACAACACTCAGTATAGGAATACACAACATTTTGTATAGGAATGCACATCTTTTAATAAGACTGATTTACCCTAAATTTATATATTTTAATATTTTAAAGGGATTTATTTTCTTAATCCGTGTGATTTGTTCCTTTTAATCTCAGCCATACATCATTCTGATTTAATGGTCTAGATTAGTCCTTACGTCCTCACGTAAGATTAGGTCCTCACCTGATCCGGACTCTATATATATATATATATATATATATATATATATATATATATATATATATATATATATATATATATATATATATATATATATATATATATATATATTAGTTTTTTACGTGCATTGCGCGATTGAGATAATGCCCAATATTTTTTTTTAAATAAGTACTTTAAAGTATATATCAGTGCAAGATTATATTGGAATTGTTCATGCATAGATAATTGAATGTTGAATTTGCATATTTAAATAGGTAATTCTAAGTTTACGAATGCAAGATAATATAGTCAAGATTGATTATAATTTTCAATAAAATAATTGTATAGGTATGGTTGAACCCAAATACGGGACATAAGGGAGAGCAAATAAAAATTAGGGAATAAAATATTAAATATATACTAATATTGAAGAGCTAACTGTTGATTGCCAAACAAGGACATTGCGAGGTAGTTTCCCACTTTAATTTGTTGTGTGATTTGAATACTCTTTTTATCAATAAATCCTCCAAGTAGTTAATATGATTGGCGTAATTATATATTTTTATTTTTTATTTTAAAAACAATTATTATTATTATTATTATTATTATTATTATTATTATTATTATTATTATTATTATTATTATTATTATTATTATTATTATTAAATATATGTATATCATTAGGTCATTTTACATGTTAATCTTTTTTTGAATGTTAATCTAAACAATTAATTTTTTCAAATATCTTTTTACCAACCGTTGATATAATTCGCTGTCAAATCTGATAATATAATCCGCTAACGCTAACTGCTAATTGCTGGTTGTCAAACAAGGATATTGCGAGATAGTTCTCACTCAATTTGTTGTGTGATTTGAATACTCTCTTTGTCAACATATCCCTCAAGTAGTTAATATGATTGGCTTTATTAAATATTTTTTTTTTAATTTTTTCATAATATTAATAAAATACTTGAAAAATAAATATATAGCATTATTTTGTATTATAACTTTGATATTTAATTAAAAACAAATAGTGCGCAAAAAAGATAATAGACAATGTAGTGAATATAATCAATTGATGAATTTGAATGTAAAGAATTTTTACATTGGAGAAAAATAAAGACGATATAACTAATAAAATTATTTCTCTTAATTAATTTATTGATAATGAATAATTTTTTTTTTAATAAAGACATTGTAGGGACAATGTAGCGAATATAATCAATTGATGAATTTGAATGTAAGGAATGACCCTTTTTTTTATATTAGTATAAGGCGCTAGCTAGCGCCCAACCTTTTATATTGGAGAAAATAAAGACAATATAACTAATGAAATTATTTCTCTTATTTAATTTATTGATAATGAAATTTTTTTTGAATAAAGATATTGTAGACACATAATTCTAAATTAAAAAAATGCATATGTATTATTTTTTGTTGTAGCTACTAAATTATTATTTAATTTAATAAGAATAAAATAGGGTACTCGATAATTATGCCAACTTTGATTGGGATGAGGTTCAAACTTAAGACCTTTCTTATTGAAATCAATGAGTAAATTAACGGTGAACTAACATGATTTAACGGGAAAGATAATATTTAACGGAAAAGTTAACGGATAATCATATTCATTAAGGATAAATTAGGAAATCTTAAGGAAAAATTAAAATCTGGTCAATCTGAGTCATTCATAGTTCTCACTTCAATTTGTTGTGTGATTTTAATACTCTCTTTGTTAACAAATCCCTCAAGTAGTTAATATGATTGGCTTTATTAATTATATTTTTTAATTTTTTTCGTGATATTAATAAAATACTTGGTAAATAAATATATAGCATTATTTTGTATTATAACTTTGATATTTAATTTTAAAAAATAATGCACAAAAAAGATAATAGACAATGTAGTGAATATAATCAATTGATGAATTTGAATGTAAAGAATTTTTACATTGGAGAAAAATAAAGACAATATAACTAATAAAATTATTTCTCTTAATTAATTTATTGATAATGAATAATTTTTTTTAATTAAGACATTGTAGGGACAATGTAGCGAATATAATCAATTGTTGAATTTGAATGTAAAGAATGACCTCTTTTTTATATTAGTATAAGGCGTTAGCTAGCGCCCAACCTTTTATATTGGAGAAAAATAAAGACAATATAACAAATGAAATTATTTCTCTTATTTAATTTATTGATAATGAATATTTTTTTTTGAATAAAGACATTGTAGACACCTAATTCTAAATTATAGAAATGCATATGAATTATTTTTTGTTGTAGCTACTAAATTAATTTAATAAGAATAAAATAGAGTACTAATTATGTCAACTTTGATTGGGATGAGGTTCGAACTTAAGACATTTCTTATTGAAATCAATGAGTAAGTTAGCGCTGAACTAACAAAAATTAACGGAAAAGATAATATTTAACGGAAAAGTTAACGGATAATCATATTCATTGAGGATAAATTAGGAAATATTAAGGAAAATTAAAATCTGATTAATCTGAGCCATTCATTTGATTAAAATTTGTGATAGCCATTTTTTATTCCCATTATCGGCCTAACTCTCTTGAGCTCTTATTAGTAGATATTGATTCCGTACAAGTCGCTAGATAGTCCTTTGATTCTTCAATTAGATGCCTTGAACACTCCAACTGAAGGGCCTCCGGAATTCAAATGGTTTGATCTTCAATGGAGGTTTGGATCAACAAGCAAGATCGTCATGGTGGAGGGCTTTTACTTTAAAGATCACATTTGTATTGTGATCTCTGAATAATATTTTTAGGATGTTTACATGATTATTTCCTAGGTTTAATACATATATAGAAATAAGATATCTTATTTATAGCTATAGAATAAAAGAGTTTTGATAAGTTTAAACTCTTTTGATATTATTTAATTTAACATATTAAATAACATCAATATTATCCAAAATATATTCAAATAAACAAATATTAAAAAATAATTAATATTTATCAAAATTTTAGTGTCATCAAGTGTACTAGAATGCACTAACAAATTTTCATTTGTCTGCACACAATCTTTATTACAAGTAGGAACGTATTACTGTTAGAATAATTATTATCATTATTATTATTATTCTATGGTTCATTATAATTTATTGTGGCTCATAATTAAATATTTATTTATAATTTAATAATGAAGATAATCTTGTGATTGGCCAGTTAAGAAGATAAGATTGCAGTTTCAACTGCATATCATCAGGTTTACGTTGATGGAACGTATTATTATTTATATTTCATATATGAGACTCTGGTCCTCTCCCCAACCTCTCTAAAAACTAAAACTCTCCCCATCAGAGAATTAGATCAAGTGAATGTTAAAGGTCTGGAGGGAGAAACCAAGTTTCTAACTCAAGCAACTACGAGAAAACAATGGAGCTAGGTATGTTTCCAGAACGCTATTTAAATACAGTATGTGAAAGGCATGTGTTATGAAGATCTTATGTTTTAGGATTAACTTACATGTGGTATCAGAGCCTGGTTGTAGAACATATGTTTTTTCATATATTATGATGAAATGTTGTATGTACGTACTTTTGATGGCTTGAAGCATGAAGAATACTGTAACTGTTGTTCACTTCGTTTAATTGCGTATGTATGTACTGTTAGCGTTAAAAGCCATATATCATGAAATAGATTATATGCTTTATATGCTTTATCTTGATTGATGGCTTACTGTGTTTCTGTTTGATAGAATATATATATATATATATATATATATATATATATATATATATATATATAATGTTTAAGTTTGCATACAACATATATAAGTTTGCGTACTGCATATCACTATATCATGCATTTGTTGTGTTTGATATATATAATGTACTGCATTGTATATATGGATGTTATGGATAATGGATTACAGTATAAACTTTATTGTCCTAGTGCATATGATTTCATAATTAAATGAAGTATCCATGATGTGTTTTTCGCTTCCGTAATATTGTTGCATATTTGAAATATGAATTACAGTAATTCAATTTGTTTGTTTATTCACTAGTCAATGTTTTCATATTTGTTATATGTAGTGCTTTACTGTATGTCTCTATATATATCGTACTGTATGTATTGTTTATATGCATTTGATATGTTTAAATATAGGATGAATTACAGTATAAGTAATTATGCATATAAATGATTAATGAAGTATTTGTTACTGCATGAATGTAATTAATTATGTGTTCATTATGTATGTAGATTAATTATGATTCTTTGTAACCAACATGGTTTGCATAGTGGTTTAGAATCCCGTCTCTTAAACTTGAGGTGAGGGGTTCAATCCCCACCCATGTAAATGGAGCAAATAATTTAGCTTGCATATTAGTGATAATTATGTATGTGGATATTTTTATGATATTATCTATCATATTATATCTACTTAACTTGGTATCTAATTATGATTGATTTGTTAGTGGCCAAATTATAAAGTTTTATAGATACCAAATTTAAATAAAATTCAATTACCCATGATTTTGTGATGCTTATAATGAAATGACATGATTTTATTTTCTACAGTATTGGATAAATTGAAGTTTAATAATTTTGAAATATTTAAGAGTCGCCCAAAGGTGATCAATTATTTCATAATTATAAACATAATAGTGGTTAATTATTTGTATTTGATTGGGTTGTTTAGCATATCCAAAGATAGCAAACAAGTCCAGTCATAATATATTTAATGGCCAATTATATGAATTATTTTTGCATCGGATCATGTTTAAAGTTATATGTTGTTGGATCACCCAAATGAGACCTTCAATGTACTTAATTGTTTATGATTATGTTGATTACATCTGTTTATCTGTTTATGTATTGAAATATAATTAATGTTTGAGTATTTTATATTCATTGCAGCATCTAGTTGTGTTCAATTCATTCGCAAGCTGCGTCTATTGTTAAGTATAATGGGCTGAATTTTGCTGAGTGGCATGAACAAATCCAGTTTCACCTCGGTGTTTTGGATCTTGATCTAGCACTCTTGAATGACAAGCCCGTTGCTATTAATGATAATAGCAGTGATGATGATGTTGCTTTCCATCAAGCATAGGAAAGATTGAATAAACTCAGCTTAATGCTTATGCGAATGACATTTGGAAACAACATTAAGTCCACAATTCCCAAATTTGACAGTGCTAAGGATATGTTGAAACATGTGGAGGAAAATTCACATTCTGAATGTGCTGATAAGGCCCAAGCAGACACTCTTATGAGTAAACTAACCAACATGAAATTTGATGGTTCGTGTTCCATGCATGATCATGTCACTGAGATGTTGAGCTTAGCAGCAAAATTAAAGTCCATGGGAATGGACGTGAATGACACTTTCCTTGTACAATTTATTTTAAACTCTTTGCCTCTTGAGTATGAGACATTCCAAGTGAATTACAATTCCATTAAAGATAAGTGGAATGTGTTCGAATTGCATGAAATGCTAACTCGAGAGGAAACGAGGCTTAAGAGACAAGGAATCCACTCAATTAATCTCATGGGTCAGTCAAGGGCTGGTAAAAAGTTTGGAAAGAAGAATCAAAAGGGTAAGAAAGGACCAATGAAGACTAATGAGTCCTCTTATCAAATCCACAAAAAGGAACATAAGAATGACAAGTGTCATTTCTGTAAGAAATCTGGGCATTTTCAGAAAGATTGCCTTAAGTGAAAGGCATGGTTCGAAAAGAAAGGTATACATTATATATCAGTATGTTTCGAATCAAATTTAACTGAAGTTCCTTATAATACTTGGTGGATAGATTCTGGTTCCACTACTCATGTTTCGAATACTATGCAGGGATTCCTTATGACCCAAACCATAAAGCCAAATGAAAAATTTGTGTTCATGGGGAATCGTGTCAAAGCTCCAGTAGAAGCCATTGGAACTTACCGTTTAATTTTAGATACTGGAAATCATTTGGATTTGTTTGAAACTCTTTATGTTCCTTCAGTTTCTAGGAATTTAATTTCTTTGTCAAAACTGGATTATTATGGTTTTTCCTTTAAATTTGGAAATGGATGTTTTAGTTTATTCAAACAAAATCATTTTATTGGTTCCGGTATTTTTTCCGATGGCTTGTACAAACTAAAGCTTGACAATCTTTTTGCTGAAACTCTATTAACCCTGCATCATTGTATTGGAACTAAACGAAGTTTAGTGGATGAAAGATCAGCTTACTTGTGGCATAAACGTTTGGGTCACATATCTAAGGAAAGGATTCAAAGACTTGTAAAGAATGAAATCATTCCCGAATTAGATTTTACTGATCTAGGTATTTGTGTGGACTGTATTAAAGGAAAACATTCAAACCACACAAATAAGAATGCAGCCACAAGAAGCACACAGCTCCTTGAAATTATACACACTGATATATGTGGACCTTTTGTAATACCCACTATCTTAGAAATAAAATTATATCTATGTTTATTAAATGTGGTCAACAAGTCAAAGCTTATCCAAATTTAATATTGGATGAAATTACTAAATTGCCCTTCCTTACCCTTAAAGGTTAAGAAACCACTTTGGTCTTTGGATAAACATTTCTTTTGAAAGAAGATAAGAGGAGTGGACTAGAGAGATAGAGGAAAAGAAGCATCTTGAAGCTTTGATCTCCATCTTCTTCAAGCTTAGGTCTCAAGTTATTGGAGTATTCTAGGTAAGTTTGACCTCTATATTTCACTCTTTGAGTTGGGTTTATCACTTGAGCCTTAAGATTAATGTTTGAAAATATTAGGGATTTTGACAAGGAGTATTTGGGCGAGCTTAATAGCTAAGATTTGGATGTTTTTAGGTAAGTGATTAACTTTTCTCTCCTTATTTTGGAAAACCCCTAAATATTATGAAATAATCTCCACTACTTTGAATCCCCATTTTAGGGTTAGTATGAGTTAAGAATATTTTAGACTATGATATGTTTTTGGGTATGAAATGCTAAACTCAAGTCTGGATGGAAATTGTGTTTGGGTTCGTTGGAACTGTGTTTTGGGAATGGATATTAAGGTAAATTATTTCTGACTGGAATGGTACATATGTGTTGAGACGGTAAAGTGGTTTATGGTTGCTGTGTAAGTGCGTAGGTTGTGGGTTCGACTCTCTTCGCTAGCATATTGTGTGTTTTTTTTTCTATACCATATGCTTTATAAAATGGCCAAATTATTTGTGCGAAGTGAGACTTGAACTCCAAAGCTTATGCTTATATTAACTTAAGTTCTTTCCACCTAAGCCATTTCAATCCCTTTGAAACTACTTTGGTAATATACCATTTTATGATTTTTAAAGAGTTATGTACTAAGAAAATTATTATTTTGAGAATGGTTTATACCTTGCATATTTCTTAGTTTGATAAGCTTATTATCTATTTTGGAAATCTGAACTTTGTTATGTGATTTTAAGCAAATGATTTTTGCTACATTGGGCTATTTGATTATAAGAACTATTTTGATTATTTGATCAAACTCATGAGGCAACCTACATTTTGTTGTTTGTTTTGTTTGGCTTGGAACGTTCCTAATTGCTCATTCCGAATCGTCGAGCTTGACTCATTCCGAATCGTCGAGTCTTTCGAATTATTTGTTGGAACGTTCCATCCGGCTCATTCTGAATCGTCGAGCCTGACTCATTCCGAATCGTCGAGTCTTTTTGGACCATTATACCGATAATGGCATATGCCACATAATATAATGGTGGTTGTAGGTTGCCAATGAGTTTTATGTAAAGGAATGATTGGTGCTTTTGAAAGTATTGTATTATGAAATAATATTGATGCCCATGTAGCTAAAGTTTTTCGTTTTGGGAATTTGTGTATAGTATGATGGAAGTATGTTATGATTTTGATATAATTTAAGGATTGAGTTTTGCATCTAGTTGTTACTCTAAAGCTTTTTGTATTATATTGGGGCTACTTGATCCGGGGTTGAGAGGAGTATCACTTACTGGGCATTAGCTCATTATTTGTATTTTTTTTTCTCATGTTTCAGAGTAGTTAAGGACATGTGAATAGCACGAGCACAAGTGGTGGGGTCTCGAAGGTGACTTTTGAAACTTGGAGACTTAGTCCTAGTTTTGGAGCTTATCATGGATTTTTATTTATTTAGACTTTCTCTTTGACCCTTTGTATTTTTGGTAGACCATTGTGCTTGGTTTTGGTGCTTGTGATGCATTTTGGACATACTACTCTTAATTATAAATATCTAATAGTGGATTTGATGAGTTTTTGGGAAGAACAAGTCGATTATATTTTGTAATTTTGGGTTGTGGAATTATTGTATATTCAAGAGTTATTATGAAGATTCTGAGAGGTATGTATGGTTAGGCTTCGTATTGTTACAGGTCTTCACGTAACGATACGGCCGTGTCATGTCCTAAAAGTGGGGCGTGACACCTTTTGATGTCCCA